CCTGCAATGATTCACTTATAACAGAAAAAATGTGTTTGGTATAAAAATTACTCAGATTGTTCCATTGTTTCTAACGTAGATCATGTATAATTCATTCTTGAATATGTTATTAAGTAATAAGCCTAGGTGGAGGTTTTGATGTTACAACAAATGTTCTATGAAACTGAGCTGCTCCTTCAGTAGCATAAAAGAGGAAATTCATAATTAAGATTTACTTTATATACGCAAATTTCATTAGTTGTTCTTCAAAAAAGTTGTAGTTTCAAAATTGTTCTTATTTTGCGTTTGTTTATCATTTACTCTCTCATAATATCAGAAAGTAAATTCTCATTTTTCATTTGGATTTTTTTTATGAAAACCCATAAAATAACGAAAAACTTTGATATAATAAACCCGCTCGAACGATTTTGATTGACATTTAGTATTTTATAGTTATTTAACCCCAAATAAAACTATACAAACGGTATTGCTGTAAAAATACGGTTAAAAGCTGCAACTTTGCGATTTTCCTAATACAAAAAATTCAAATTACTCCCACCACTTACCCATAAGGGTTGTTGACAAGCTAATGGGAGAAATTATGTCAGATTACTGATACTATTATTTTCATTTGGTTTGCTTTTCAACGCCATGAATTTTTCATGTTTTTAAGGGAAGGATTTGAATCGAGGTTTTATTACTATGTTATGTGAAACTAGACATTATTATTTTTTCTATATTACGTCGATAGTTTGTTAGGACCGAAGCAACAGCCTTCAAACTTGAGTACAGTATAGGCTACTTAGACAGTAAACATCCAATTTTAATACATATAATGTATACAAACGTTTTAAAATCATTGTGTAATGAATATTATAGGTCGGCCGCTTAGAAAACGACCTCCTCCAGCATTGGTTTAGCATGAGCGCGCAGGTCGTTTTCTAAGCGGCCGAACTATAGTATAAACACTAATCTTTTGACCGCAGTTTAGCCCATTCAACTTGTTCCAAACAGCTGACAATCGTACGAGAGAAACCAAGGTCGACAAGACGAATCAGTCTCGGGTTTCAACCGAATTGATGTTTTCACACCGATCTGAAATCTAAACTGTAGCAAAATGTGGATTGATCTCCATCCAGCGGACATAACCTTTTGTTAACTTGATAGTCAGTTTGTAATTTCAGCTCAAGCAGTGAGCGAGACCCAAGGTTGGACGGCGTGAAAACTCCTTTCTACCTTCATTACAATATGTGCCTGATTATATGCATACTTTACATTTCGTGCCGTACTGCCTGTTGTGCCGTGCCTTTGTTAACCTTTGACTTATTGTCTCATCTGTTGTCTCTGTTTCAACAGGGATATTATTTGTGTTGTGTAATAAATTGATTTGTAGCCTTAGCGAAACTTGTATGAATCATCTAATAGGATTTATTGTTTCTTAAATGTTTACGTATAATTTTTCCATTCGATTCCATTAGGTGTGGAAAATCTGAAGATTTGTTTACAATTTTCTTTTTTTTGAGCTGATGAGTCACTTTCATTTTGTACTAAAATGACTGTAGGTATCATAAGGGTCGGGAGACATAATACGTAAATTATTAATTATTAACTTAACCTCTGATACCTTGGCACAAGTATAGTTGTGGACAGTGTATCTCCGGACCAGGAAAAGGAGACCTACCTGCCTCTACTATTGTGGAGTTGCCCGACCGACCGACCCTAATTAATGTCGCTTGGCTGGGCTCAACGAAAACAACAACTAGATACCCAATACGATAAACTTAAGTTAATTTATTTACAAAAATTATTAGTGTTGATTATCATATCATGTTATGTTTTGAAATGTCGATTATTTTGATACTAAATTTGATGTAAATCGGCCAATTTTGACCATTTGTGCCGCCAAACTAGTTTTTCTTTTAAAAACTAATTTTAATAAAAAATGAAAATTGAATATAATTTACATCAAAGCGTGAACATATGGAGGAATAACAAAATACGTAAGTATGAATGTATTAACATTTTATTATATCATAACCAAAATAAATAGATCGTTTGAATACAAATTTGAAAATATAATTTTAATCAGTAACTTGATTAACTGTGCAATATTTCTCTTATTCTAAATTTATCAAAATGCAAAGGCACAAAGTACGAAAAACAACACGACATAAATTAAAACATAGAGCACAGTGTGAAAGTTGTAGCTAAAATTTAACTAATACTAAATAGGCATACCGCATGTGAAATATAATGTAAAATTAAGCAACACAGAAAACGTGATTCTAAAATGTTATTATTTTAACAACAAAACCGCAATTTTAGATTATTTTGTAAATATAGTACAATAAAAAAAGTTACATAGTATACTATTTATGATTTAAAAGTTTTCTTGAAACCAGCTATTCATTCAAACGAGCTATTTATTTTGGACGGAATAAAACGTTAATACAATCATACATAGGCATTTTGTTATCCCCCCATATGCTCACGCTTTGATGTAAATTATATTCAATTTCCATTGTTTATTAAAAATTAGTCTTGAAAAGAAAAACTAGTTTGGCGGCACAAATGTTCAAAATTGGCCGATTTACATCAAATTTAGTATCAAAATAATCGACATTTCAAAACATAACATGATATGATAATCAATACTAATAATTTTTGTAAATAAATTAACTTAAGTTTATCGTATTGGGTATCTAGATGTTGTTTTCGTTGAGCCCAGCCAAGCGACATTAATTAGGGTCGGTCGGTCGGGCAACTCCACAATAGCAGAGGCAGGTATGTCTCCTTTTCCTGGTCCGGAGATACCCTGTCCACAACTATAGTAATCTTTTAGGCATTTGACAAATTTTGAATATCTTCTGCTTCTTCATTTTAACTTTTTCACACTATAGAGGGAGTTGAAGTTTTTACTTCCTTAAGTTTTTTTTTAAATGAGGTGATTCCTACTCCTGTTCCATTATAATTCAAACTCTCCTTTAATCATAAAACTAAATATTTTGAACTCACGATACTTTTTTACCAAATAAGGTTTTGACCACACGAAACACTGCGCAACTTCTTAGCGTAACACGTGATGACGAAAAAGCGACGTATCTTCCCTGAACCGAAGTCTATGATTCATTCCAGCGAAGACGTATAACACTTGACACTTTCAGACGACAAAAATCACCCTCATTAATGCTGGATATCATATATTATTTGTCGGACGCAAAACCGCCGAGAATGCGATGAGGCGCCGCGCCGACAATGGCGCAGAAGACGAAGGCGCATTTTTTACACGTCATGTTCAATTTAAGAATCCCTGTCGTCGTGCCATTTGTTTTATGTATGAACGCCTCGCTGTTTTTGCTCCGCGTCTCGTTCCCATAGCGAAAGTTGGGTGCTCTTTTTGTCCCGTCGTCTTCTTCACGTGCCCGACCCCTTTCTACCATGACAACAGTTCGTGCAGCGATTGCTGCAATGTATACTAGATCTTGTTTAAGCAACGATTGGCTTTAAACAGTATGTTTGTGGGTGTTTGAGAAGGGGGTTTTTATTTTGGAAAGTATTGGGACGACTTGAGACTCGAGTCCATCTAAACATCTTCGTGAACATGTTCCATGGTGACTACTGAAGAGCTGCAATGATTTAAACCTTTGCAATGACTTTACATTTTTCGTCATGGTTTTTCATAGAGATCAGAGTAAAAGGATAGTGTTCTGACTACTCCAGGGTCAGAACTGCATAAACAGTAATGCCTGAATAATCACCTTCACGCCTAATAACTTCTGAGAGAACAATATATGATGACCAATGCAAAAGCTGGTCAGAATCCTAACCCATTTACTTAACACTCTACAATTTAAATGAACTTAGAGAGAAACATTAGAGCGTTATCACCATATTATTGTCCCTGATAACAATTGATTACTGCACTGTTTTTCCTGTAATTTTCACACGTTTCTTCAAGGTATGAATAAAGAGTGAAGAGGCTCTGTCTGCTATAGATAAAATGAAGCCTCAACAGGGCAAAAGTAGTGTCTGGATTCTGGATTGGGCTTTGATTGCCAACAAAGACCAAGTGGACTGAGGTTTTACTAGATGTTTCAAATAGGATGTTCTATTTTATCGACAGTTTTCATAGTGAATGTATTGAATTAGGTTGTCAAATGTATTGAGGATTAAGACTGACCTGAGGATTCTTGCCACAGACAAATAATATTCACGTTGAATTATTGCAGTTTGATATGCCTAAGTTAGATTCATGATTAATTTGAAATTGTGTTTTCTGCCAAGAATGGCAAGTTATAAGCGTCTGGGCCTCTGATTGGCTGCACTTGTCACCAGTCCTGGTACTTGGGAACAAACGGCCTGGCAACGACGGTAATTGCTCACTTACGCCAGAAATAACTCCAATTTACTCTTAATTCCGTTAATTTTCTCACAACTATTACCTCAAGAGGCTCAGAATGCGTGCGCGACTTACGTAATTAACATAAGATGGATAATTAAGGCTATAAAGATTGTAAATGGATAAACAAATGGACGCTTACAATGGGTGGTTAGACAAGAACTTTATAATGTTCCTGAAGTACTCTTTGTATATGTTTCATGGGTTCGCTATATGGTGCATGTATAATAAACACGTGTAGTGAGTTTCCATTGCGAAATTATTTCATTCAAAAGAGTTGGCAAATGGCCAAAACATTACTGTTCATTTCGACAACTTCTACTTCTTCGGTCGTTATTTTGAGAAGGAATTATTCAGTTTCAGAAACGTATTGAAGATCTCTATTTAAGCACACATGTATTGTACTCTTGTCACTGAAAAGATCCAGATCAAGCGTTCTAATTACTAAAACTGTATCTCGTGATCGGATGTTGATGAAATTTGATGCAATGAACAGATATGCGTGTACTTCTTTTCTTTGAAAGAAAGCATGCTTAATTTTCAAGATCTTTTTGACTGTTTGAAAATCATCTAGCTTATTTTGATCCACAGCCCTCACCCCACCTACCACCTTACAACATACCTTTCCCCATCCGATGGTCCTTCATCTTATCATCGTCCATCATCAGGTCATCTTTGCTCTTGTCATCACAGTCTGAGATGATGGCGTCGTCATCATCGTCCGTCTTGTTCTTCGGCTCCCACGTCATCTTGTTCTCCTTCTTCAGTCTCCGTCGCGCGTTGGCGAACCACGTCGACACCTGCGTCAGCGTCATCTTGGTGATGATCGCCAACATGATCTTCTCGCCTTTGGTCGGGTAGGGGTTCTTCTTGTGCTCGTTCAGCCACGCCTTCAGTGTCGCCGTCGACTCTCGCGTCGCATTCTTCCGCCGCGCCGCCAGGTCGTAGCTCGCCCCGTACCTGGAAAATAGTTCCGAATTATTAGTTATATGGTGCATGAAGAAAGTTTGAAGTAGTCTTGTAGGTACAGGGATTGTAAAACGTGTTTGATACAGCTTCTTGATTTGAGTTGACGTTGAACAAACAATATCGTAATTTACTTCGCTTTTTCTTCAGTGTTTTATTGCTTTTTGAAAATTCAAAGTGACATGTCTGGCCAAGGGATGCGCGGAACTTCTACACTAGATACCTGGATTCAAATCTTACTGTTTGCCAAAAGATTTTAGCAATGCCATAGTGGTGTAACCCGGGGGTTCAAAGCTAATCCAAAGCCATGAGATATAAACAAAATATTAAGAAGTATTTCTGCATGAGGACTCCCTTAAAAAAAAAAAAAATAAGCGATTAGTGTTTTATTCCCATTTTAGGATCGTGAGTCCAGAATAATGTAAATTTTTGCTGAAACCCTCTGGGGAAATTTTGCAATGAGCTACTTCTGTTGAATGATGATTATTTACTTCGTGTAAGAGTAAAGTTTTCTACGTGTAAGAAGTATTTGTATGGGTATACAAAGTTACAGAGCCACGATGTTTTTTGTTACTATTTCATCACATAAACACTGTTTTTTATTAAAAGCGAAAGACATGTGTGGAAAAATGACAATAGCATTGTTAAGGGCTTATGTAGACTAGTATTTATCTTATGATGCAACAGTAAAGCACCACTTCGAGTGTTGACCTCACGACGTGCTGGCGTTTCTTTTTCCCATTGTGTCTGAAACTGTTTCAAAAGTGAGTGATTAAATTACGATATCTTTAGTCGCATAATTAAGTTTAGTTTATTTCAACGCGATAAAGCAACACCATGTTGAAGAGCGAAGCACTCCATAAATGCGAGGTTTATACGCGGTGTCTAGTCATTAGGTTCAAAGAACACCATAAAAACCACCATAAAGCGGAGCCATAAGAAAGACATAAATGACGCCATAAAGTCCGCATTTGTTTAATCTGAGGACGCAACGCGCGGACTGGATACGAGTGAATTTGTATTTGTATGTATTTAGAGATTGAGTCAATGTCAATGCGATATGGTGATACTGAAAGTATTGCACCGGTACAATACTGTATACGTTATGTTTCAAGCTTACTATAAACGAATCTTGTAAGTATTAAAACTGTAAGTAGTCAAAAACTGTATTGAGACCGTGTTAAGTAAAAGAACCAGATTGGCCATAGATTTTTTATCCCAGGGATATTTGTTACAGCGTAATTCTAAATCGTGTAAATGATATCAAGCATTTTTTTTTTGTCTGTTGGTTTTTTTGTCACAATCTTAAATCGCATAAAACTACTTGTACAATTTAGTAATTTAGTGTTAATTACTAAAAATGTAACTTTCAAAATGGGTTTATATGTTTAACTATTAATTAATTACCATTCCGCTTAATGGAAGGTTCCCCTTTAACTTGAAGAATTCTGTAAAGAAAAAAAACTGGGAAACTTTTACAATAAATCGAGGAGGAATTCCAAAGAGGGTCTGGGAATGTATACCATAAAAGGCAAGAGCTGACTTATGTGGCCGTGGTGTAGGGACAAATCGTAGAGGAGCATGCACGGTGCACGGGGCATGCACGAACACTCAGGAGTGCTCACGAGCATCGCGGTGCTCACTGCTCACTGCTCAGTTAGTCACCGCTACCGCCTCCACTATGGGTCATCCCCGTTATTTATGTGGGGACGCTGAGAGTTGGAGGATATTTATATACATGAGTCACCAAAAGGGTTGGAGGTTTTGTTTTGTTTCTGATGTTTTGGTTTGAGGTCTATTGGAATCTTGGTTTTTGAGCTAAATGTTTATTTTATTTGAGTTAGTTCAGTATTTTCAAGAGTTAAAAAGTTGTATGCTTCCAAACATGAGTCACTGTTGTAGGGACTGAAGATTTTTATATTTATAAATATATACACAGATTTTTAGAGTGTTTTAGTTTAGTGTTTCGAAATACTTTCCAAGCTGCGTTTCAAATGAATACGTCATCAGCGTTATCCAAAGAGTTTATTGAATGTATTCTAAAATACAAGTCGAAAAACTAATGTAGGATATTTTTACTGCCCTTAAGATTTGTGTAGGCACCTTATGAAATCTATATATTTTTTAAAGACGGTTATTTTATTCGTACGTTGCTTATGAAGTTTATTTTTTTGCATAAGTGCATACAAGTCGTTATACACAATACAATAGTAAACCGTCAGACCTTACTAGGTCAATTTGCTATCCCTCGATCAATTGCACAATTATCAATTAATTAAGATGGAGACGCAACCTATCTGCGAATATTTCTTTAATTCACAGTTTTAAGAAAGAAACCCCGTTTTTGATTACACGGAACGCTGTTGTAGGATACTAAACTGAACTCTTAGTTATTTTATGTATCTTCATTGTTTGTACGGTGAAATATAATGATGTTTCCGGCTATGACAGCCATAGCAGGTAGCTTGGTACCGTACTCGCTAGCGTGTCGTCCCTCTACCGTAGTTCAGCGTATTTATGACAATACCCCTTGTTTTACGTATCTTCGTATTTTTTCAACGCGCGTGTTTCCCTCGCATTCACAATTCTCTGTTTAGCCTGTCTCCGGTGATGCATGGGACATTACATTGAAATACTATTGGGGGGAACTGCCTACGTCAGGTCTCCTGCCAGATGTGGGACTGGGATTGTTAACTGTTGAAATGTATAAATCAACATGTGTCACTGGTTTATAGTAACAAATAATAATTTAGTTTAGAAATTGAAAAATAATAATAACAAAGTAACTATTATACAAATGACATATTGGTCTTGGAAATATTTATAATCATCCAATGTATAATGTTTCTTGTCTACTGTGATTTTTCAACATACAGTATGATTTAAATTAAGGCATCAATGGGTTTCAACTTTTTTTGTGTAAAAGTTTTATGAATTGATTATTTTATACTCCTTTGTACTGTACATGGAACTTCCCCACAGTTAAAAAAGTAATAGTGGAGGTAAATGACTCCTCCTTTTTTCATTGGACATTTTTATGATGAGAAGTAGATGATTTCTTATTCTTAAACCATCCATTAGGCTATGTTGTTTATTTTAGGTGTTTATTTGGTTATTTTATTGGTACTGAATAAAGAGGAAGTGAGTATTTATTTCTGTGTGAAGTAGATGGAAGTAGTTTACACTAATCCTTTGGGTCAGCAAATTTCTAGACGTCACCGACCAACGTCTTAAAAGATTCGATGACCCAGAAAGTCCTCGAATCCTAAACAAGCCCAGTAAATTCTGGATGAACGAAAAATCCGACTAACAATTCTCTTGAGCTTTACGATGTGTTAACTTCAAATTCACATCATTAGTTTACACAAAACCTTGAACAAATGTAGCGCGCTATCCAACAAACAATCCTAGATAGACATCAAGCGCTCCACACTTGCCAGATGTATAGTCCCACCCTAGACTCCGCCGCTGATTCAATATGGAAATCGAACGCCTTTATATGCACCCACGCCCTCCAATGGCCCTTTTATTGAGTCGGGTGACGGCTTATTTCGCGGCAAACAAACCGCCCTCGCCGCGCCAATAGACGGTTATTTACCGGGTAATCCCGTGATCCGGTAGTCACTGGATCCTCAAACGATTGTTGTCAGTGTTTAATAATGAGTGCTGACTTGTGAGCAGGGTTTGATTGAGAGTTGTATTATTCCGGTTGGTTATTCTCTAATGATTGAAGTTCCACGATTGTGAGTACTTTTGAGTTTTGAAGTATAATGTAGAACGTTATTGGTAGGGTATCAGGGTGCTTTTTGCTCTTGCTTATGTGTCATGAAGTTCGGGTTTAATAATATTTACCAATACAATTTTTTTCTTACGTGTTGTACAATTGATATTTTATCTCACTAATTTTTTGTTTAGTTACTTTTATAACGTCATAAAATGAAAAGTTAACTGCGTTTCGTAGTATTGTATCGGACAAGTAGTTTTCTTATTTTATAAAATCAGTTTGATGATTTTAATGCCAGGGCTTATAAATTCTTCATTTCTGCATTCATGAGTTGTGAAGTCCTTTGGACATTAGACGTGTACATGATACAATCAGGTAATCATTTGATTTTTGTTGCGTACACTTTGTATGATGGAAGCTAACCTATTTGTGTACACCTCATATAATTTATGTGTACCTACACATTTAATATAAGAGTTGCGTCAAATAATACAGTAAATATACCGTACTATGTACACGTTCAGCAAGCCTACCTCATCACATACACTGTTAGTACAACGTGTACTTGACACATGTGAGAGGTTCAGCCCATTGTATGCCTACAGTGTACACGTGGTGCAGTAAGCCTACCTCGTCGTGTACACTGTATGTGCAACATGTACACAACACATGTGAGAGGTTCACCCCATTGTACCATGTACACGTGGTGCAGTAAGCCTACCTAGTCGTGTACACTGTATGTACAACGTGTACACAACACATGTGAGAGGTTCATCCCATTGTACCATGTACACGTGGTGCAGTAAGCCTACCTCGTCATGTACACTGTATGTACAACGTGTACTTGACACATGTGAGAGGTTCACCCCATTGTACAGTGTACACGTGGTGCAGTAAGCTTGACTCGTCGTGTACACTGTATTTACAACGTGTACACAACACATGTGAGAGGTTCACCTCATTGTACCATGTACACGTGGTGCAGTAAGCCTACCTCGTCGTGTACACTGTATGTACAACGTGTACACAACACATGTGAGAGGTTCACCTCACTGTACCGTGTACACGTGGTACAGTAAGCCTACCTCGTCGTGTACACTGAATGTACAACGTTTACCCCATTGTACCGTGTACACGTGACGCAGTAAGCTAAAGCCTACCTCGTCATGTACACTGTATGTACAACTTGTACACGACACATGTGAGAGGTTCACCCCATTGTACTGTGTTCACGTACAGTAATCCTACCTAGTCATGTACACTGTATGTA